GACGTGAGTTAAAATGACCCCATTATCTCTGAGATGTGGTTCACCTCTATCCATAGGAGATTCATGTACATTCTTTGTCTTGCCATTGGCAGGATCGTGGTTACTCCCAAAGGCAACTCTTTTCTTTTTGTCTGTTGGTCTTGCCTTTTTGCTGTCGTTCCCAGCCACTGCAAATTCTTCAGGCTTGAATCAAGGCACCATCAGTCCAGAGTGTCCCCCAGTTGCTGGGAATACATACCAGGCTACTTGAGTGGTCTTGCTGAGGTCCATTCCTTCTAGATTGAGATGAAGGAGGTAATGATAGTACTCTCCCCCATAGCACCCCACCTTAAAAGAGAGAGAAAGGGGTCACCTGGGTGGCTCAGTTGGTTAAGTGTTTGACTCTTGATTTCGGCTCAGGTCATGATCTCAGGGTCATGGGATGGAGTCCCATGTTGGGCTCCCTGCTCAGTGGGGAGTCTGCTTGTACCTCTCCCTTTGCTCCCCACCCCCCACTGTTTCTCTCTCTCTCAAATAAATAAGTAAATAAAATCTTTTAAAAGAGAGAGAGAATGGTTGGTGTGGACAGCACTTTCTCGAAAGAAATCCTTTCCCCTTCTTCTCAATTCTTAAAAAAATAATTTCTTGAAGTGCTTGTGAGGGAGTTCCAAAGTTGTATAATGGATTTATGGGCATTTCCTTTGCAAATTGTGCAAAGAATGATCTTTCCACACATATTTGGAATCTGGTATTTGTCATCTGTTTTATTGGTACCTCACTCAAAATTTTGTATCAAGAGTCTTTAACTTTTTAAAGTATATATTAGGGCTTTTTTGAGGGGGGAGGGGGAGGTTCCTAAGCGGAAAAGAACCATAATGCATCACAATTTCACAGAGTATTTGTACATGTATGAATGATAATATTCAGTTAGGGAAAATTAAAACAAGTTGTTGTCCCTCATTTCTGAGAATTATTATATCTGCAAAAGTAATCCACAAAACAGTTCTTGGCACAACTTGGTGGGGCTGGTTTATTTGGTAGGTGATCCCAGGAAGAAGTGAGAGACTGGGGAGAAAGGGAGAAAAACCAATGAAGGGTGCATTAATGAGCTATTTATTACTGTAGGCAATTGGGGAATCAATCCCTGTGAGGAACCATGTGGCCATGCCTCAAGATGGTCCCACCAAAGTGAGGCTGAGGTTTTATCCCATCTCCCATACATTCAAGTTCTCCCCAGAGGTATGAGTTCCCTTTAGTTTGGGCAAGCCCAAGAGTCTTTCTGAAGCATCAGAAAAAGCCCAGATTCAGAAAAGCAGTGTGGGGAGCCTGGGTGGCTTAGTTGGTTAAGCCTCTGACTTCAGCTCAGCCTATGATGTGGGGGTCCTGGGATTGAGCCCCGCGTCCAGCTCCCCACTCAGCAGGGAGTCAGCTTGTCCCTCTCTCTCTCACTCTGCCCCTGCCCCCACTCATGCTTGCTTGCTTTCAAATAAATAAAATCTTTTTTTTTAAGATTTTTTAATTTATTTGACAGAGTGAGAGACAGCGAGAACAGGAACACAAGCAGGAGTGGGAGAGGGAGAAGCAGGCTCCCCGCGGAGCAGGGAGCCCACTGCGGGGCTTGATCCCAGGACCCTGGGATCATGACCTGAGCCGAAGGCAGCCGCTTAATGACTGAGCCACCCAGGCGCCCCTCAAATAAATAAAATCTTAAAAAAAAAAAATCTGAGTGCCACCTGCAGCGTATGCTTTGAGGATATTAACAACAGGCAAGAACTGTTCACAGCTACAATGGTGTTTCTACCCATATTTGTGTTTATTTACCTCCCTTGATTGCTTAGACATATTTAACAGTGCATCTTCCTTCTCTTTAGACTGGCACTTTAGTACTTTTCCACATTCCTTTGGTCTCTCCCCACTCAGTCTCCCACTAAATATTTTGAAGTTGTTATGGACATACTTTTTCTTTTATCTGTTGATCATTGATTTTTTATTTTTATTTTTTTTTATTTTTTTTTTTTAAAGATTTTTTATTTATTTATTTGAGAGAGAGAGAGAATGAGAGATAGAGAGCACGAGAGGGAAGAGGGTCAGAGGGAGAAGCAGACTCCCTGCTAAGCAGGAAGCCCGATGCGGGACTCGATCCTGGGACTCCAGGATCATGACCTGAGCCGAAGGCAGTCGCTTAACCAACTGAGCCACCCAGGCGCCCGATCATTGATTTTTTAAACAACATTTTGGGATGCCTGACTGGCTCAGTTCCTAGAGCATGTGACTCTTGATCTCAGGGTTGTGAGTTTGAGCCCCACATTGGGTGTAGAGATTACTTAAAAATAAAATCTTAGAAAGAAAGAAAGATGTTTTAAATAACATTTTGCTTTTCTTAGTTAATCATTCTTGCTGTCCATATCTCTGGCACCATCTGCTTAGTTTTTTTTTATATATTATTATTAAAATATACTTCCTCTAAGAGGTTTTTTTTTTTTTTTTTTAAGTGTCTAAGACTTTGTGTTCCTGGAAATACTCTAATTGGCCCTCAAATTCAAAGAACAATTGACTGGATATAAAATTCTAGGTTTAAAGCTAATAGAGTTTTATAATAAAGAATAGTTTCTTGGTGCGCCTGTCTGGCTCAGTCAGTGGAGCATGCAACTCTTTTTTTTTTTTAATTTGACAGAGAGAGACACAGCGAGAGAGGGAACACAAGCAGGGGGAGTGGGAGAGGGAGAAGCAGGCTTCCTGCCGAGCAGGGAGCCCGATGTGGGGTTCGATCCCAGGACCCTGGGACCATGACCTGAGCCGAAAGTAGACGCTTAACGGCTGAGCTACTGAGGCACCCCAAGCATGCAACGCTTGATCTCAGTGTTGGGAGTTTGAGCCCCACGTTGGGTGTAGAGATTACTTAAAAAATAAAATCTTAAAAAAAAAAAAAAACAGTTTCTTAGTCAAAGTATAATGAAATAATGTTTTATTTACAGTTGAAGTAAATATTAGAGTTCAAGTAAATATAAATTTACTTACTAGTATCTAGTGTAATCTTGTCAGTGTTGGGTTTTTTTGTTTTGAGAGAGAGAGAGAGAGAGAGAGAGGTGGGGGAGAGGGAGAGAGAATCTTAAGCAAGCTCCATGCCCAGCCAGACACGGGACTCCATCTCACAACCCTGAGGTCATGACCCAAGCTGGAATCAAGAGTCTATGACACTCAGCCGACTGAGCCACCCAGGCGCCCCTGGTCAGTTTTATTTCTTCTTAAATTCCTGGAAAGTGTTAGGGTGCTTCTGTCTGTCTGTGTTGTATCCTGTCCCCTGCCCCAATTTTGTATTAATTTAGACAATTTTTGTAATTAATATATTCTTTGGTTTAAAACCTGTTTTAGGGGGTGCCTGGGTGGCTCAGTCGTTAAGCGTCTGCCTTATGATCCCAGGGTCCTGGGATCCAGCCCCACATCGGGCTCCCTGCTCGGCGGGAAGCCTGCTTCTCCCTCTCCCACTCCCCCTGCTTGTGTTCCCTCTCGCTCTTTCTCTCTGTCAAATAAATAAATAAAATCTTTAACATAAATAAATAAATAAAACCTGTTTTAGAGTAGGGAAGATTTTCTCGTATGAAGCCTCTGCTTTTATAGTAATAATGAATTGCTGGTTTTTCTCTTTCATGCTCTTGCTTTCCACTACAATATTCCCTTTGGTGGTACACAGGCCTTTTTTGGCTTTCAGATGTCTTAGGTAGCCCAGGTATGTATGTTTTGAGTCTTAGTAGGAAACTTTGATACCTGAGGAATCTGGAAGGAAGGATAACAGTAAGAAAACGTGCCTTGATTCCAGGAAATCCTCTTGACCCCAAGGTGATTTTCTCTTGTTGCCTATGTATCTGCTTTTGTCACCATGCTGCCTGATTGATTCAACATCTAATCATTTATAAAATAACTTTCAGGGGCACCTGGCTGGCTCAGTCAGTAGAGCATGTGACTCCTGATCTCAGGGTCGTGAGTTCAAGCCCCATATTGGCGTGGAGCCTACTTAAAAATAAAATAAAACCAAAGGGCTTCTTTCAGAAGGTTGCTGCTTTTTTTTAATCTTAGATATTATCAACCTAATGTGATAATTGAAAGTTAAAATATTGTCATTGAGCATGGGAATTATGCAGTTAAACAGGATAAAAAATAAAATTAAACCTTTTCCTCTGTTTTAAATATATATATATTTAACTTTGTCAGTAATTCTTAAATTATGTTCATTAACATCACTGATATTCTACTAAAATAAAATAATAAAGATTTTTTTAAGTAAATAGAATGAGAAAATTATGGTTTTTTTTCTCAGATTTTTCTTAAATCTGTGCTAAAAGAAATTCAGAAGCAAATGATAGATATTAATAGGAAGAACTTGGCAATAGCCTATCATTCATACTTGGCTTACCATTCTCTCTTGCTTTTGTAATATCCAGTACAGCAGTATTTCATGGTGTTCCAAAAAGAATGTGTTCAGGTTTTTTTTCTTCCAAGCTCTTATTTAACAATTAGTTAATAAGAATGTATACTTTTGAGGGTACTTTGACACTTGTACACAATTTTGAGAACCACTGGTTCTTGGAGTAGGAAAATAGAGTTTATATGTTAAAACATAAGCAGAGGGGCACCTGGGTGGCTCAGTCGTTAAGCATCTGCCTTCGGCTCAGGTCACGATCCTGAGGTCCTGGGATCGAGCCCCGCATCGGGCTCCCTGCTCAGCGGGAAGCCTGCTTCTCCCTCTCCCACTCCCCCTGCTTGTGCTCCCTCTCTTGCTCTCTCTCTGTCAAATAAGTAAATAAAATCTTTGAAAAAAATAAAATAAACATAACAGAGTGCTGCAAAGATGAGCTTAATATTCACTTACATAAAAATTGTTCTGATGTACCTAAAACCAACATAACATTGTATCTTAATTATACTTCAATAAAAAAAAATTGTTTGAATAGGTAAAAGTTGCTCTTTCCCGTATAGGACTGCTTCATTGATGTAAACAACATTTTTATTTTGTGCCCTCGCAGGAGCCCAGGCTTGTGTGCTCGTGTTTTCTACCACAGATAGGGAATCTTTTGAAGCCATTCCCAGCTGGAGAGAGAAAGTAGTAGCTGAAGTTGGAGACATACCATCTGTACTTGTGCAGAACAAGATTGACCTCTTGGATGATTCTTGTATAAAGAAGTAAGATGCCCACTTTTGAGGTGGAGGTGGTAATTCTATAAAGTTAAAACCTGTTTTAATTTTTGCATAGATTTAAAAAATTCAGGAAACCTTTTATGGAGACTGCCTTATACTTAAATTTTCTGTGAGCTATTCTATGTGATTGGTTGGGTTTAAAAAAAAGTTCACATGAAATCGTAAGTAGAAAAAATTAAAGGAAATAAATTTTGAAGGCCCTTGTAGAATTCCAGTTTTAAGTCTTATACCACAAATCCAGCTCTTGATGTTAAAGCAAATCTAGATATAGTAAGAATGTTAAGAAAAATATCTCTGTATGTTTTAATATCAAGAGCAAATAGCTATCCTGTGTTGATGAGTTTAAAGGGGTAAGTAGTTCAGATTCATATTGTTTTGTGTATTAAGAAACATTATGCTCAAATATGTGAACAGAGCATCTAGATAACTCTGTCTATATGTATTTGCTAGCTTTGAAAATCTTTGCTTGGTTTTTATCTTCTAATTTTTTTGTATGTTCTTATATTATCTGTGGCTGTATAACCAATTAACCCAAAACTTAGTGGCTTAAAACAACAAAAATTTATTATTTCAGTTTCTGTGGGTCAGGAATTTGAGAGCGGATTAGCCAGGTGGCTCTGGTTTGGGTTTTTTGTGAACTTGCAGTCATGATGTTGCCCAGGATGGTAGTCGTGTAAAGGCTCAACTGGGGCTGGAGGACCCACTTCTGGGACGGCTCCCTCGCTTGGCCCTTGTCAGGAGGCCTTAGTTCCTTGCCACGTGGACCTCTCCCTGGGGCTCCTTGAGTGTTGGCACTGCATGGCAGCCGGCTTCCCCCAGTCAGGGGATTTGAGACAGGGCAAAGCAGAAGCCATAATGTCTCTTATGACCTCATCTCAGAAGTCACATTCTATGCCTTCTGTGTATTATTGATTACACAGACTAACCTTGAATACAGTGTAGGAGGAGGCTACACAAGAAGGTGAGGACCAGGAGGAAGGTGGGGGGCGGGATGGAATCACCGGGAATGATTATAGAGCAGAGCTACTACAGTCTTAATAAAACTAAGACCAGGAGTCATAATAAAACTAAAATTAGGAGTCTGCTCTCATAGACACAGTTGTTAATATAATGACTTTGGCTTTGGCAGCAAAGCAGTTTCATAGCCAGTTAAGAGTAAAGTAAGGAATATAGTGTAAGATTTTCAGAGTGCAATTAAAATCAAATGTTTTTAAAAACAAAGTTAATTTAAGTATTATATAAAGAAAAGTGATATTTAGCCATTTTAAGGCTAGAGTTTAGTGATATAGAAATGACAGTATAGTGGTGTTTATCCCCCAAGAATACTGAAAATTAAAAATCCTGTCTAAGCACTAAGAACATAGTTTTCAACTGGTCTGGAAGGTCTGACACCCCCACCCCCAACATGTATTCAGTAGATGTAATGAAAATGATTTTTTAAAACAAGGTATCAGAAAGTACCCTTATAAGTGCCTTTTTTTTTTAATCAATGTATAGTGAGGAAGCTGAGGCACTGGCAAAAAAGTTAAAGCTAAGATTCTACAGAACATCGGTGAAAGAAGATCTGAATGTGACTGAAGGTAAACTGCCTTTTAAAAAAAATTAATAGCAGGAAGTTTGTTTTATTGTTCTTATGTTTTTTCTATTGTGGTTTCCAGAAATCATATATGTAATAACAGAATTTTCTTGTCAACAATCAAGTAAAATTTAGAGGCATGATACTTCTTAGAGTCCTTAACTAAATTACCAATGACTCTGAATACTTGTTACTCTCTACAGAAAAACTTGGGTGGGTTTTGTTTTGTTTTTTATCTTTAAAAATATAACTGTATATACATATATGAGTGTATATGCATGTATGTGTTTTTCATGCATACCTTTTAAAGTTACTGACTTGTTTAAGAGCTACTCTGTAGTGGATATTCCATCAGGTAGTTACAATGACCCTAATTTGTTGTTGTTGTGTGTGTGTTTTTAAAAAGATTTATTTATTTATTTGAGAGAGAGAGAGAGAGCAGGGGAGGGGCAGAGGGAGAGAATTATCAAGCAGACTTCCTGCTGAGTGCAGAGCCCAGTTAGGGGCTCAGTCCCACAACCCATGAGATAATGACCTCAACGAAAACCAAGAGGTGGGCACCCAACTGACTGAGCCACCCAGGCGCCCCTGATTGTTTTTTTGTTTTTTTGGGGGGGCTTTTCTTTCTTTTTTTTTTTTTAAGTAATCTCTATCCCCAGTGTGGGGTTCAAACTTACGACCCCTAGATCAAGAGTCCCATGCTTTACCGACTGAGCCAGCCAGGCACCCCTGACCTTAATTTGTTTAGTAACATTCCTAGTTTAAGAGAGTGAGAGTAGAGAAAGATGATTATTTTTCTCATTCCAGAACTGCTACTTATTTTATTAGATTGCAACTTGGTTGTTCCTCAAGTGTCTTCTGGATAGTTTTTTTCACCTAAAGAAAGGAGACATCTTGGGCGCCTTGGTGGTTCAGTTGGTTAAGCATCTGTCTTCGGCTCAGGTCATGATCCCACAGTCCTGGAATCTAGTCTTGCATCAGGCTCCCTGCTCAGCGGGGAGTTGTGCTTCTGCCTCTGCCCTTCTGCCCATTCCCTCACCCCCCCGCTCATGCTCGCGAGTGCACACTCTCTCTCTCTTTCAAAAATAAATAAAATCTTAAAAAAAAAAGAAAGGAGCCATCTTTTCAAGACTGAGTTAGTGTAGTGTTGCTGAATGTTGATCCCTGTTCAAGTACCTAAAACTAGTGACTACAAGTATTATTTCATTTCTTTGCTAATAATTTGCCATATATATTTATTATGACCATTGTACTTAGGTATTGCTCAAATAATTTTTTTAAAGATTTTATTTATTTGACATTGATATTTTATTAAATATTTTATTTATTTATTTATTTATTTATTTATTTATTTATTTGAGAGAGAGCACAAGCAGGGGGGAGTGGCAGGCAGAGGGAGAGGGAGAAGCAGGCTTCCTGCAGAGCAGGGAGCAGATGCAGGGCTCAATCCCAGGACCCTGGGATCATGACCTGAGCCGAAGGCAAACCCTTAACTGACTGAGCCACTCAGGCGCTCCTGCTCAAGGAGCAGTTGAATTTTTTTCAACTAGATTGTATACTTCCAATTTAATTTTAAATGTGTTTAGTAAGGATGAATGAAAGAATATAAATATTTAAAAATAAATAAGTGTTTTTAACAAGTATACAATATTACAGTGAGTGATATGAAACAACAGATTTTACATGCATAAATTATACTGACCTGGTAAGAATTTTGTTTTTGTTTTTACTCTAGTTTTTAAATATTTGGCTGAAAAATATCTTCAAAAACTCAAACAGCAAATAGCTGAGGATCCAGAATTAATGCATTCAAGTAGTAACAAAATTGGTAAGTACCCAAGAAATTTTAATCCCATGTTTACCTAGTAAATTTATTTTCCATTCATTATTATCATTATTTTCTTAACCATCTTTTAAAAAGGTTTTTAAATAGGCTCCATGCCCAACATAGAGCCCAACTCAGGGCTTGAAGTCAAAACCCTGAAATCAAGACCTGAGCTGAGATCAAGAGTGTATGCTTAACTGACTGAGCTACCCAGGCACCCATATTTACTATTTATTTTATTTTTTATTTTTTATTTTTTTAAAGATTTTCTTTATTTATTTGACAAAGAGAGAGAGAGGGAGAGCACAAGTAGGCAGAGAGGCAAGCAGAGGGTGAGGGAGAAGCAGGTTTCCCACAGAGCAGGGAGCCCGATGCAGGGCTCGATCCCAGGACCCTGGGATCATGACCTGAGCCGAAGGCAGACGCTTAACGACGGAGCCACCCAGGTGCCCCATATTTACTATTTTTTTAAAAAAGATTTATTTATTTTAGAGAGAGAGAGAGAGCGAGTGGGGGGAGGGGTAGAGGGAGAGAGACAAGCAGACTCCCCACTGAGTGCAGAGCCCGATGTGGGGCTTAATCTCAGGACCCCAAGATCATGACCTGAGCTGAAATCAAGAGTTGGACGCTTAACCGACTGAGCTACCCAAGCACCCCTACTATTTTTTTAAATATAATATGTTCATTTCTTTAAGAAATGTGATTAGAAAGTATTAGATCAGCAGTTATTAAACTTAGTATCAGGTCTCAGATTAAAAGGTATATTGAGTTAAAAGATTTTTTAACTATTGAATTTTCTAAATCCATTTTCTATATTAAGAGAGCAGAGATAAAGACTTTTTATAAAGATCTGTCCTATGAATAAAGGAGGTCTTAACACTTTTTCTTCTGACTCAATACTTGTACTGTTTCCATACACTTGACTGATTTTTTTTTTAATGCTAGATGCCTACAAAGAGGCACCTGGGTGGGTCAGTAAGTTAAGCATCTGCCTTCGGCTCAGGTCATGATCCCAGGGTCCTGGGGTCGAGCCCCGCATCAGGTTCCCTGCTCGGCGGGAGGCCTGCTTCTCCTTCTACCCCCTTCCCCCCTGCTCGTGCTCTCTCTCTTTTAAGCTTTGTTTCTCTCTCTCAAGTAGATAAGTAAAATCTTAATAAATGAATAAACAAACAAACAAATAAAAAATAAATGCCTGCAAAGTCTAACATTTCCTGAAGAATAAGTATGTTGTCTTCTCTATAACAATAACTGACTGACCGGGCGCCTGGGTGGCTCAGTTGGTTAAGCGACTGCCTTTGGCTCAGGTCATGATCCTGGAGTCCCGGGATCGAGTCCCGCATCGGGCTCCCTGCTCAGCGGAGAGTCTGCTTCTCCCTCTGACCCTACCCCCTCTCATGTGCTCTCTCTCATTCTCTCTCTCAAATAAATAAATAAAATCTTTAAAAAAAAAAAAATAACTAACTGACCATGTCTTGCTCTTTGTTTTGGCTTACAGGAAGTTTAGATCCAAGTTTTCTGTTTCTAAAGCTTCTATGTAGTCTCTTAGAGACTTCATATCTGTATTCTGTCCCCAGCCCTCCCACTGCATACATGTGATCACATAACTTTATTTTCTTGACCTCTTTTAACTTTTTCCCCCTTGGTTCTGGCCATTTTTTTGTTGTTTTTTTGCCATTTTATTGCATATGTTCTTACTGTGAAACAAGATAGGACAGTTGTAATAAGCTGCTTTCTGGTCTGGTCTTCTGGCCTCCATTCTTGTCTCTTCCAGTTCACTGAGTAAAGCCCTTTGATAGATTCATATTGTGGAGAATATTAAATGCAGCTCTCTTCATTCTGAGATCTAAAGACAATATTGTCTGTCCTTCTGTGTGGCCTTATGCCCCACTAATATTTATGTACCCCGTTTTCCAGTTCTGCCAGAGGTCTTGCTGTTTCTTAAACATTCTAGTACTGTCTTCTTCATTTTTGCTTATTTTGGTTCTTCCATCAGGAATGACCTCTCTTAGAGGGGCGCCTGGGTGGCTCAGTCGTTAAGCGTCTGCCTTCGGCTCAGGTCATGATCCCAGGGTCCTGGGACCAAGCCCCGCATCGGGCTCCCTGCTCCGCGGGGAGCCTGCTTCTCCCTCTCCCTCTGCCTGTCGCTTCCCCTGCTTGTGCTCTCTCTCAAATGAATAAATAAAATCTTTAAAAAAAAAAAGAAAGAATGACGTCTCTCTTTCCCATCCCTGTCAAAGACCTATTCATTCCTCAAGGACTGTTTGGAAAGCTCTCTCTGCTCGCTATATATCTAGCTAGAGCCATGGCCACTCTGCTTTGCTTCTCAGCGAAGGGAGATGTGAGTCCCATGCACTACCAGCTGTCCAGTGCTACTGTTTTTATTAGCTTGTCCTTTCTTCTACAGTAGCTATAACTGGTCCTTCCTTGGAACTGTCTGTGGGATCTTGGGTCTCTTATAACACTTATGGTAGAGTATCTATAGCGCTTCTTTTTTTTCTTTTTTTTTTAGAAGGTTTTTCTTTTTTTTATTTATTTTATTATTTGTATTTATTTATTTGAGAGAGAGAATGAGGGAGAGAGAGAGAGCGCATGAGAAGGGGGAGGGCCAGAGGGAGACGTCGACTCCCCGCTGAGCAGGGAGACGATGCGGGACTCGATCCCGGGACTCCAGTATCATGACCTGAGCTGAAGGCCGTCGCTCAACCAACTGAGCCACCCAGACGCCCTCTATAGTATTTCTTATGTGTATTCCAGCTCACCTCACTTCTGGATTGTAAACTTGTTGTGGGCAGGAATTGGCCTTAGTCATCTTTGTATTGCTGACAGTGTTGGGGGCCCAGACTTTTGTGTATGGTGGATGATAAGTAGTTTATAAATTGGAGATTATAGTTTAAGAGCAGCACAGTTCAGAATGGAAACTCTTAACAGTTAAAAGCTTTCTTTTAGTTCATCCTTTTACCTACTTATCACTTTAATTATCTGTAGACCATTTCGTTGTTGTTTTAGCCAAGATAAGAAAATCCTGCATTACTGCAGCTTTTACATATGCAGTGTTTTTATTAACATAAAATCTCACAAATATTGTCAATACAAATCTGGGATGCTTGAGGAAATTATATGATGTAAAAGATAGTAAGTGAAATTATTAAAATTATCATATTTACTGTTTCCAAATTTCAGACATAGATTGTTAGTGAAAAGATGTGGAACAGTGTGTACAGTTAATCATCATTTTGGTAATTAAGGGAGGAAAAAAGAATGTGTATGCATTTTTGCTTAAATATGCATAAAATATCTCTGGAAGGATACATGGGAAAAGTGTTAAAACATGCATGCTTTAGGGAAGGTAAACTGGTGATTTGAAAGGGAGACTTTAATCCCTTTTGTAACCTTAGAACTTTGACAAACAATGTGTACTGGCTATTAAAAGTAAATTCAGGGGCGCCTGGGTGGCTCAGTTGGTTAAGCGACTGCCTTCGGCTCAGGTCATGATCCTGGAGTCCCAGGATCGAGTCCCGCATCGGGCTCCCTGCTCGGCGGGGAGTCTGCTTCTCCCTCTGACCCTCTTCCCTCTCATGCTCTCTATCTCTCATTCTCTCTCTCTCAAATAAATAAAATCTTTAAAAAAAAAAAAAGTAAATTCAATGTGGGGAACCTGGCTGGCTTAGTTGGTAGAGCATGCAACTCCTGATCTCAGGGTTGTGAGTTCGAGCCCATGTTTACTTAAAAAGCGGGTGGGGGGAGGTAGAATTTACTTTAAAAAATTTTTAAAAATATATGAAATGAAAACAAAAGCTTAAAATTGTAAATATTGAGAATATTACTGATTTACTAAGATGCTGGATGCACCATCTGTAATTGGTAACCCTGAGCTATATCAGTATCACTCTTGTGTTTTCCCTCAATTTATACAGGTGTCTTTAATACATCTATTGGAAGTCACTCGGGTCAAAATTCAAGTACCCTTAATGGTGGAGATGTCATCAATCTTAGACCCAACAAACAGAGGACCAAGAAAAACAGAAATCCTTTTAGCAGCTGTAGCATACCCTAAAACATTTTAGGGAGGAAAAAAATTGAATTCTATTGTGCAATTCATTAAGAAATACATCCAGCTGTCATGGTATGTTACAAGTTTTTTTTTTTTTTTTTTTTTTTTTTTTTTTTATAGCAGACTTTGCACCTAATGGCTCTGTGAAAGTTGACAGACTTAAATATTGTTCTGCAGTGCTTTTCAGATGGAGTGAGATCTTTGGTGGAAAAATTACTGCCTTGTGGACTCATTTTAATTTTTTTTACATCAGACGAAGCTTCTCCTGTTTTTGAAGGAATGCTGTAAGAAATGTCAAAAACAGGTTTTGCTGAATTTTAAGTGCTGGAAAGCATAAATGGAATGCCTGAATATATTGGTGCAGATTTTAATATTATTGGTCCAGGAAAGATAGCAAGCATTGTATGTCTGAAATTGGTCATATAGCTTTTCTGGAAAGTAGTATTGAGTCCAAATACATACAAAAAGATAATACTGAATGGTAAACCCTAAGTCTTGCCAGACTGCATGGGTGTGTATTTTGGCAATGTTACTTGAGTGCAATATCTGTATGATGTAGAATGTGGAGATCTGCATGCAGATATCTGGTACTGAAGTATACTGAAGGGATGTTCAGTATGTAAGGAAACATAGAATCTAATTCATGCATTCATAAAATCATTTACACATTGTGTGTATGTTAAAAGTTTTTATTTTCAAGTAGGAAATTCCACACATATATTTTGAAAAATGAGCTCAGATTTTAAAAGTGCTTTGTGCCAAAAATATCATACCTAATTTTTACAGTGCTTTACTATCAGAATTTATATTGTTTATAATATCTTTAAAAAGCAGTTTTCCTCTCTGACAGGGTAGATAAAAGAGGAGTATAAACATTTTAATGCTAGAGTATCTCCCAGGTGAGACTTGTTGCAAACTCTTTCTCCCATGTGCACCCATGAGCAGGGGAGCTTGTGCCGGCTGAGCCCTTCCAAAGGTCCAGCGCCCCTGTGGTCGTTCCTGGGGTCCTGTGAAGTGTGCTGGTGCACCTGGCACCTTTTGCTGCTGAGTGAAAATGCAATTTTGAACCTGTAAGATTATGCTAATGATTTTTTTAAATGCAGAAGAGACGTTCTTTTGTCTTAATCTGCATTGCGGATTTTATAATGCCCTGCAACTCTAAAGCATCTTTTCATTTACACATTTTTTGTATGGTATTTTAAGATTATCACTTAAAAATTTCTATAAACTTCAGTTTGTATAGCACTTTCTCGAGAGCTCTGTCAGCACCAAATGCAAAATAATTTCTTTTAAGAACTGATTTTCATATGTAATCATGTGGCAGAGCATACATTTTGTGACTTGGGACAGTAACTTTCCAACTAAGATAATTGCATGAACTCTGTTAAAAAGTGATTATCATTCATCAGTGACTTTGTTTTTAACCCCTTGCTATATACCTGGTTTTTACAGGATTTCAAAACCTGTAAAAATAACTTTTCTTGGAAAATGTGTCATAAAAGTTGTTTTTCATTATTTGTACTAAATGCATAATGTATGTATTTCCTCTGTATGTTTTCTCTCTCTCTCTTTAAGTCTTCCATCTGCACCATCCTCATCCCTCTGTCCAGATTCATGTTGAGAAAATAATAGAATTTTCTGGGGCATGTCCTTGCTAAATGGTCAAGAGTGAATGTTTGCTTTTCATAATATTGAAACAATCTGGCATTATCTGTTTTAAAGTAATATAAAATGTTCATTTTTCTGTCACCTGTTGCCTCCACTCCCATTGCTGGCAGTGGGTTAGGTGTTGGGGGGAAACAACTCCATTCCTAACAATGGGTACCTGTTAATGATTCCTCTTTCCTTTTCTCCTCTGTTCAAATACAGTGTCTTTAATTTTTGCACAAAACATGCTTCACGGCGAATAGTTTTGTGGTCTTTAGTAGCCAAAAAAAAAAAAAAAATGTTATGTAATATGTTGTAGTTCTATTTCATATTAATTAAATGTATGTGGGGAAGAGATTGCTACTTTTCTATATAAAAAAGATAATCACTGTTGATGGTTGAAGTTCCCTGATATTTGTAATACAATGTTATGTATTTAGTTTTGTCCTTTTTTCTTTTTATAGGAACTGAAGAGAGATCTTTTGTTATACATTTGAATTTTTATTTGCACTTGTGTATTTTAAACCTAACCATAATTGGTCATTTTAAATAACGAAGTAAGTCTGAAAATCAGTCACAGGTGATATGTTAAGTACTTTCTGAGTTTAATTCTAAAACCTCCAAAATTGACGTTAAATTCCCCCTACCCCCTGCCCCAGACCCTTAATTCTTTTAAATTACTTTACTGTTAATTTGTAATGAATAATGGATACGAAAGAAAACACTGTGTAAGATGTTGTTTGTGCAGTTTGTGCCCTCCCGTACTTTGCTACATGCTGGCTGGGGTTTAGTATCCAGGGAGAGCTGTGAGGTAGCTGCCATATTGCCTGGCCCCCCGGCTCTCCTTTCCTCTCTCAGTCCGCCTAGCGAATTAAATAGCTCACGCTGTAGCCCAGATAAGGCAGTATCTGGTTGACCCTTGAACAACGCCAGTTTGAGCTACACGGGTCCACTTATATGTGGATTTTTTATAGCACTGTAAATGTATTTTCTCTTCCTTATGGTTTTCTTAATGACATTTTCTTTTCTCTGGCTTACTTTATGGTAAGAATACAGTATATAATACATACAACATACAGAATATTTGTTAATGGACAGCTTATGTTATCGGTAGGCTCTTAGTTAAGTTTTGGGGGAGTCAAAAGTTATACTTGGATTTTCCACTGTGCGGGGGGTCGGTGCCCCTAATCCCTGCGTTGTTCAAGGATCAACTGTATTTTAGCATTATTAGTGCCATAAGATGGAATTCAGTGCCATTGATTTAGTACTGTCAGGTGGGAACTGTACAAAGTACCTTGCAAACAATAATTTAAGCTTTACAACAATTCTGTGGAGGTGAGTATTATTATTCTTTCCCTTCCTTTTTGAAAGAGGAGGAGAATGAAGAACTGAGATAAGTTTGTCAAAGTCACATATTCGATAGCGACAAAGCCATTTTCTATCCCATTTTGTAACTATTATGTTTATGCAGCCCAGACATAAAAAGATGTGCTATCTTCCATTATACTTTACAGCCTAATATATATGAGTGGATTTGATACTGCTTTATATATGCAGTTATATTTTATGGAGGAATTACTACTGCTAAGAACATTTTCAGCTTACAAATGTTCTAATGTAATATTGATTTCTTATTCGATGCATTTGTTTTAAAGAGAGAATTAAAATAATAAAGAATAACTATTTTTCAATCAAAAGTCTAATTTCTCATCTAAAATTACAGGGAGGGAAGTATCCCAAAAGACTGATTTAATCATATTTTAGTGTATATTTGATAGCTTCATCCAAAAAATTAATTAAAAATATGAAGAAAAGCTTTTGAATTGGGATTATGTACATAAAAAAAGGAAATAAGTTAACCATTCTCAAGTATGTTATGAAAGGCTTATTGTAAAGAGAATTCTGACCAGCCATTTTTTATTAAAGATCAAAGTTGAAGGATTTAGCTTGGTTATATTGATTATTAAATGCTGCAGTCATTTAATGAAGTAACTTAAGCAATCTTCATAAATGAAAATTTTAAATAAAAAAATAGGGGTGCCTGGCTGGCCCACTCAGTAGAACATGCAACTCTTGATCTCGGAGTTGTAAATTTGATTCCCACTTTGGGTGTAGAGAATACTTAAAAATAAAATCTTTAAAAAAAAAAAGGTTTGTTATCCATGCTGAATGCCAACTTGGATGCAGAAGTTGTCATAAAAAGGTTTTTTATTTTCCCAATTCTTCTATCTCATAGAATTCAGCTTTTCATATATTCAAGTGACAGATTCACTTAAATATATTTCTGTTGTTTTTAATTGTTTAAGAGAAATCAAAGGCTGAATTTGCTTTCCCCTTGGTTTTTGTATTGTATGTATGACTCCTCTATAATTCTTATATTCTATCTTTGTGTTATTACTAAATGTGTACATATTTCATCTCTTCTAATTAAAATGTTACTCAAGTTTTTCTACTTTCAAAATTGTAATGAGAATACTTTGCTCTTCTATTAGATTGTAAGAAAAAACATGTCATACCAATCTTGAAATTTCCTAGTATGGCTTTTACACAGATTTATAAATCACACTAATTAGAGCAGATTATAAACAAACAAAATTTAAATGTGTGATACTTATTGCTGAGAGAAATTAAAGGAGATTTAAATAAATGGATATATTATGTACATGATTGGAAAATTAAGTATTGTTTTGTTGTTCTTTCTAAATTGATCTATAGATTCAATGCAATTCCAATGAAAATCCCAGTAGGCTTTTTATTGGAAAGTTTATCTAAAAGTTGTGTGATGAACCTAGGATAGCCAAAACAGTTTTGAAAAAGAACAGAGACTCCATGATTTTAAGACTCTCAGTATGGGTACAGTAAACAAGACACATAGATCACTGAAACAGACTAGATTCCAGAAATATACCCACACAAATATGGTCAGGTGATTTTTAACAAAGATTTCACAACAGTTCCATGGTGAAAAGGAAAATGTACTGGAATAACTAGATATTTTGAATCTCATGCCTTACCTCATACTATTCTCAAAAAATAATTTGTGGTGGATTATTAACCTAATAAAAGCTAAAAACTAAGGCTTCAAGAAGAAAACAGGAAATATCTTCATGACCTTAGGGTAAGCAAGTATATCTTAGAACCCAGAAAGTGCTAACTCCTAAAAGAAAAATCAGTAAGTTGTACATAAAAATTTTAAAACTTCTACTCAATAAAAGACATGGTTAAGAAAATAAATAGATAAGCCATATGCCAGGAGAATGTATTTGTATAATCATATCTCATGAAGGACTTATAGCTATAATATATTTTTAAAAAAACCAAAAACAAAACCCTACAACTCATTTATAAAAGACAACTCAAATAAAAATGAGCAAAATACTTTGACACATTACAAGGAAAGGTATATGAATGGGCAATATAAGTACATGGAAAAGTGTTCAAAATCATTAATCATCAGGAAAATGCAAATTAATACAATAAGATACCATCACAAACTTCTAAAATGGCTAAAATTAAAGACTGAAAATAAAATATTTGTATAAATGTGGAGTAACTGGAACTCTAGTTCAATCACTTTGGAAACCTTGGCAATTTCTAGTAAAATTAAAGATACATCATCTGTATGACCCAGAAATTTCACTTCTAGGTATTTACCCAAGAGAAATAAAGTCTTATGTGTATGAAAAGAGTTGTATAAGAATGTTCATAGCAGCTTTAAAATAGCCCCAGATTGTGCCTGTGTGCCTCGGTCAGTTAAGCATCTACCTTGTGCTCAGGTCATGATCCCAGGGTCTCGGGATCAAGAGCCTGGGACTCCCTGCTCAGCAGGGAGTCTGCTTCTCCCTCTGCCCCTCTCCCCAGCCCCCCCCCGTTCCACCTGTGCTTGCCCAACCTCTCTCTCTCTCAAATAAGTAAATAAAATCTTTAACAAATAAAATAAAAATAGCCCCAAATTGGAAACAACCCAAATATCTACCAGCCCATGAATAGTTACACAAGTTGTAGTGTATTCATAAAGTGAAATACTGCTCATAATTAAAAGGAACAAATTGTTAATATATAAAACATGAATCTCAAAAACTTAATGCTGAATGAAGGAAGTCTGACAAAAGAGTATGTACTATATAAATTTCATTTATATGAAGTTCTAAAGTAGGCAGATCTTAAAACAATCAGGACGGTGGTTGCCTCTGGGACTTGCACTGACAAGAAAAAGGCACAGAATATTCTTGGGTGAGGGAGATAGATCTTGATACGGGTATGTGTTACACAGCTGTGCATATGCATATGTATTGTGTGCATACACAGCTGTATGGGTATGTCAAAACACATTGATTATATACTTAAGATCTGTATATTTCACTGTAAATTACACCTCAATAAAAAGTTAGAAAAATAATGTGCTTTTCTGGGAAATGCTGCTTTAATGTTGAGTTATGTTTAATTATTATTTGGGACTACTTCTAAGAAGGGTGATGGTTTAAGCACTAACATTTGAATATCCTTTATGGAAACTGACCAAATGGCCAATGGAATATAAAATCGAGGAACAACCTAACCTGAGTAGTAGATAGTGTCCATAGATGGCCCCCAGATAATCCTGCCCTTCCCTGTACCTGCATGCAGCTACTTCCTTCAGAAGGGAGAGCATATGTCTCTTGAATCTGATGTGAGCCTGTAACTGCTTCATCTAATTGAACACAGAAAAGTAACATTCTGGGATCTCTGAACCAAGGCATTAATAAGCCTCTGCTTCCTCCCTCTAAAACCCAGTGGCCATGTGCTGAGGAAACTTGAGTCAAGTGGAAAGGCCCATGTGGCAAAGGATAAAGGGCCCCAGCTAACAGTCCCAGCTGAGTTGAGCTCCTGTGTGACAGTCAGCACCAACCTGGAGCCATCTTGGAAAAGGATCCCCCAGCCTCAGTCAAACCAACCTTACTAGTGCCATATGAAGCAGAGATGAGCTGCCCCACTGAGTCCTGCCCAAGCTACAAAAATGATGTTTTAAGTTACTAAATTTTGAAGTTGTATAATACATAGCAATTGATAATTAAAACAGCTTGCATTAATACTGGTATAAGAAAGATACCATCCGCATGGCACAAATTCCAAGGAATTCCTCCCACATGGTATATATGGAACCAGATCAAAGGAGGACATGTAGGGCTTGCTCATAATTCCTTTTCCTGAGGAAGGAGTGCTGGGCTTCCGAGAGTGAAATTCTGATGAAATGCTTCACACAAACTCTTTAGGATTTTGGCTGGGGTTGCATAAATATAGATTAATTTGGGGCAAATTGTCATCTTTGTCATATTGAGTCTTCCTATTTAGGAACATCATAGTGTCACTTGATTTACTCAAGTCTGTGTGTGTGTGTATTTGTCAGTAAATGTTGAAATTTGTTAACTTTTCTGGTGGTTCATCCTAACAGTATCTATACTGGTCCAGTATTGGGATTTCAAATAAGTTGTGTTGGAGATTATCTGGATCCTTGGGCAAATCTTTTGGGCTCAAAGAAGAGGTAAAAATTTGTATTTTCTTTGGTGATTTTGCAAGATTTAAACAGCTTGTTTGAAGTAGGGAGGAAGCTATCTCAGAGAATTTCAATGATGTGCCAATTGGTTGCTACTCAAGGTTTGTTCCTTGGCAGTGCCCCACCCCCATCCCCACCTTCCCACACTCACCCTGGCAACAGGCACCAATCCTTTTAGAGCTTCACTCCATCAATCCCCTTTGTGCTCCCCTTCATAGGGGCAGGTTGAATAAGCGGCTGTTCTGGCTGACAGCCCTGCAGCTCTGTTACCTCCAACCCCGCTGGGGTTGGGTTCTGTCACGGACACCATTACTTATTTCCCAAGCAGGCTTTTCCTTTTTCATTTATTGAATTTCAGGCTGCTCATTCCATGTCCCACCCCACCCCCCCCCCCACCACTCTGGTCTTGTTTGCACATTGTCTTGTAGAAATTGCTCTGGTCCACACCTTCTCTTTTTCTGTCCCTGAAACAGAATTGTTGCTACATTTGTGTTTTACTGGTCATTTTAATGACATTTGAAAGCACCTCTCTGAAATGGGAGATTTCAGAATTATCTTTCTTAAGCAAATATCTGATTATAACTGAACCTTAATGGTTCTATGAATGCTCAGATGGTAATCTTAATGTCTCATCTGAGCATTCAGGACTCCTCAATGTTTCACTCTAGCTCACATTCCTACTGTGGGCTTTCATGTATCCAATATTTTGACCATTACCATTTCTAGAAAATACCCACAGTTTGCCATCTTGGGCCTTTTTATTGATTTCCTGACCTGAAATGTCCATTCATTTATCATATAGTTGTTGACTGCTTTCCACATACCAAACACTGTAAATAGTAATATTGTCATTTTAAACCAGTCATAGACCTTGGAAGATAATATTTTCTTTGATCAAAACTATATTTTGTGGGTCCAGATGCTTAAGAATATCACATTGTAAACTGTGACAGTATGTGGAGCCCATCTCTTGACATATGAGCTGAGTTAGTGCCTGTGGTCCACATGTAAGAAAGTGAGCTAAACTGTCACCCTGAACCAGATCATGATGCACTAGGAGGTGAAGGCATGAACAGTGTCAGCTAATGATTAATTTGAGTCAGGAAGGGGCACCTGGGTGGCTCAGTTGGTTAAGTGTCTGCCTTCGGCTCAGGTCATGATCCCAGGGTCCTGGGATCAAGTACCGCATCAGGCTCCTTGCTCAGCGGGGAGCCTGCTTCTCCCTCACCCTCTCCCTCTGCCCATCCCCCTGCTTGTGCTCTCCCTCTCTCTCTCTCTCTCTCTGATAAATAAATAAAATTTTAAGAAAAAAAAAGTCAGGAAATAACACTGAAGAAGTCTGTGGGCTTGTAGTGAAGACTAATTCCATAAATAATAACAGGAAACAGACAGCATGGCAAGAGATATGGTGGAGAGGGAGAAGCAGGGTCCCACTGAACAAGGAGCCTGACACGGGACTCAATCCCAGGACTCCAGGACCATGACCCGAGCCAAAGGCAGATGCTAAACCAACTGAGTCACCTAGGAGCCCCAACTGACTAACTCATTAATGTTCTTTGAGAATTCATTTCAGTGCCGTCACCCTTCAGGAAGTCCTCCCTTTTCATCCCAGGCTAAATTAAGTGTCTTCATTTGATTCTACTTCTAGAATACTCTAGTGCGTGATTATATTTATATCATACTGCTCCTTAATCTGTTATTTAAATTTTGGTCTGCTTCAGAGTACCTATAGTGTATCAGGCACCATACTAAATGTAAGTGGTAAAGTAATGATCAACAAAGACAGTTATGCCCTTATGGAGCTCAGAGACTAAAAAGAAGATGGACATTAAGCAAGGAATTGTAAGTGCTCCAAAAGGGAACTAGATATTCAATGGTAAGTATAACAGGAAGACCTGGGAGATCAAAAATCTTTAGGCTCATGGGCGCCTGGGTGGCTCAGTTGGTTAAGCGACTGCCTTCGGCTCAGGTCAGGATCCTGGAGTCCCGGGATCGAGTCCCGCATCGGGCTCCCTGCTCAGCAGGGAGTCTGCTTCTCCCTCTGACCCTCCCCACTCTCATGTACTCTCTCTCATTCTCACTCTCTCAAAATAAATAATAAATAAATCTTTAAAAAAAATCTTTAGGCTCAGAC